TTCCTCTTCGGCTTCTGGCACGACCACACGACCCTGGACCACCTGATGATAAGGGCATGTCCCCTCAATGATGAGCTGGACGTCTAGGTTCATGATTTAGAGTTGTTCCACAACATAGTTAAAGCCCACTTAGAGAGCCCTTAGACAGTCCTGCTCGAGCTCCCGTATCTTTGACACCAGGTCGGCCCGAGACGCCATAAACTTCTCCTCAATGGACTCATCCTCAACAGGCCGAGAATCCGTTTCCAACTTGGCGATCCTTGCCAAGAGCTTTGTCATCTCCTCGCCAACGGCCTTCACCTGCTTCTCCACTTCGCCGTAGAGCTTGAGATGGGCAGCATTTCTTTCCTTGGCCTGGTTGAGGTTTGCCAACAGTTTGTTCCTCCCAGCCTCGACGGTCGCAAGGTCACTCTGCAACTTGGTTAGGTCAGTCGAAGGGCAGGTCTCGTCGTTGAGGACCAAAGCCGTTTTGAAGACCCGCATCACTATGGTCATATCCTTCAATAAGGCTTTCTTCCTCACCTTCTAATCGACGCCCAAGATGGCCTTGGACTCAGCAATACTCACGACTGGGGAATTGGCCCCGCAGAAGAAATCGAGCTGCAAATAGCATGGCGGGAGCACGAACTTCTCCTCAGAAATACTCTTGGTGAGGTCAATGATCTCGAGCTCACTGACTCGCTGCCTTTTTGGTGTCCCATGCGAAGATGGAGATTGGCTGCCTTGGGGGGAAGAAGATGAACCTCCGGGCATTTGTTGTACTTAGACAACTCTCCCCTTACTAACTTTTTTCCACCTTTACTGACCGTCAGCTTCTTTACGCGTTCCTGCATACTCGACATCTTACCTGCAAAAGAAAAAACAAATAAGTTAGTAAACAGCAAACCAACGACATAAATATAAAGAAAGCCCAAATGATGGGTGAGCTCGCTACCTAAAAATCGTAAGGCTTCCTCGTTGGACACACACTCGAGGAAGGCCTTTGTGTTTATCAACCGCGACTCCCGAAGAACCTCCCCGCGAGCATCGAGGATAAAATTCCCATCCGGAGTCACACGTTTTGCGGGAGTGAAGCCGAAGACAAATTCGACCACCTTCTAGTGGGCCACCTGGTTATTAGCATCCAACGAGCCCAACCTGACTTTATAGCTGTATGTGCCCTTTTTGAAGTGCTCATCCATTCATTCCAATGAAAACTTCGGCTCTAAGACCTCTTCCGACTGCCCGTTTTCCTCCTAGACCACGTGGTCATACAGCGAGTCCACGACCGTATGGGTAATGGGCTTGAGAATGCAGTACCGATCTTTAAAGGTACGAATAAAATCTAGATACGCCCAAAATAGTCCTCGACTGCTTTAGGGACACCCAACTGTGCCGACCTTTGAACGTCCGTCGTTGAAGATGGAAGATGCGGAAGAAAAGAGTGAGTGTGGTCCCAATGATAAGGTACTGACATACGAGTCCACTTCTCGGAAAGTAAATTCATACATGGGGAAACTCATCCCTTTGAAAGACGAACATATCTGATGGTGTGCTCGGGGTTTATACACCTGCTAGTTCATGGAGGAACCCTCACAGCGGTCCTCGACAGTGGCGTAGGTGTCAGATTCATCCACGTCAAAGCGATAGGGAATAGTCAGGGGCTCCTGCCCGGCCCAATCCGCGACAGTCCATTATCGCTCATCGCCGATCTGCGCTACCGGGGAATCAGGCTCGTCGTCAATCTCAGCGACCCCCTCAATCCGTGCAGCCATCTTTACCTAAAAACTAGAGGAAAACGGTGAGTACGATATTCCAGATCAAATCCACTCTCCCACCACAAATCAAGTGAAAGGGCGAAAAGAGGGGCACGTGGCCGCCAGACAGACCTCTCTGATCGGAAACACCCAATTAGGGTGTTCGTCTAGAAGAAGTTCTCCCTCACCACGACAACAAGAGGCGAGGATAGGATTCCCGAGACCTCAGCAGAGGTCCTTAAGATCCCCAACGGGTCCTCGAGGCCTCCATCTAAAGTTCTCAGGACCCTTATCCCAGGTCCTCGGGACCTTCATCAGGTTCCTAGGACCTTCATCTAATGTCCCCGGGGACCCTATCCCAGGTCCTCGAGACATTCATCTTATGTCCTCGGGGTCCTCACCACAGGTCAACGGGACCTTCATCAGGTCCTCGAATCACTCATCCTATATCCTTAGGGACTTCATCGCTGGTCCCTGGGGGCTTCATCAGAAACATCATTAATTCAAAGAAGTTCAGGCGTATTCGCCGAAAACTTTATAGTTTCCCCGGAAGCTTCGTCAAATCCACTGGAGAAACTATCAGAAAATGCAAAAAACTAGAGTAAAACGACAGTGACTTACTTGGTACGGTGGTTCTTAGGAGACGGGAGGACACCAGACGACGAACGTCTTAAAGAGAAGAAAGGGAAGCACGAAAAGAGAAGAGAGAACGTCTTAAACAGAGGAAGGGAATCATGCGACTGTAACAGACTCAACCCCTATTTATAAGTCTAGCACTAGACTCGAGGTATCAAAACCTTAGGCACTTGATGGCCCTACTCCTAGCCGCTCTAGGCATTAATTTCCCTGACACATGGCGGAACCAGGCACCTCATGCACCCGTTTGAACTCCCCTTCTACCCGGAAATGCACATGCTTGTTCCCTCTAGCATCTCACACGCGCGCAGAGCCGCTGTACCCCGTCGACAACATAAAGAGCGACCCATAGCCACGGTAGGCGAGCATGACTCCCCGAGATAGAGGAGCTCGACGTACGACAATATCCTCGATTTTGGTACTGGCGCTTAAGTCATTACTCCCCCACTTAGGAGCAACGACTTGAGGGGCTCCTGTTCTGGACTGGGCCATAACCTACCCCACAGTCGGGCAGACCCAACCCAATACTATATGGAAAAGCCCAACGAGACTCAACCCTCCCCAGGTCGGACACACTTGACCCTGCCGCTGGGGAGACCACTACTTAGCACGGGGAGAGCTCACGCGTTTTCTTCATGTTCTCCCTGTGCCCCTCATGCGAGAACACGTCATCAGACAACTATCCACTTTCGAAAGAGTTGGCCAGCACACCTTCCGAAGATCACATGCCAGTTGATCTAGGGCGAAGACCACATGCTGGTCTTCCCTATGCCATATAAGCCCTGATAGTTACTTGGGTTGGGCCTGACAATCCGACCCAATACAATGTAACCATTGACCCTGCGTTGGAGACATGTTATAAATACCCTCTTTCACTATAGGGTTAGATATTCCATTCTACACACCTAATCTCTCTGTACTCGCTTTTCTAAAACTTTGTTACTCACTTAGGCATCAGAGTACCTTACAGGTACACCCCATCCTCTGCGCCACGTAAACCCTGACAGTTACTTGGGTTGGGCCTGACAATCCGGCCCAATGCAATGTAACCGTTGGCCTTGCGCTGGGGGCACATTATAAATATCCTCTTTCACTAGAGGGTCAAATATTCCATTCTACACACCTAATCTCTTTGTACTTGCTTTTCTAAGACTTCGTTATTCACTTAGACATCGAAGTATCTTGCAGGTACACCCCCTCCTCCTCATCAACGTCGGTGAACACAGGAGCTCACGACGCGTGGCAGGCCGCTGATTCTTTTCTGATCTGGTAAGATCAACATTCATCCACATTGTCATGTTCCATTCCATCCATATTATCATATTTCTTTCTTATCCCTTCATCCACATTCTCATGTTCCTTTCCATCCATATTATCATCTTCATTTCCCTCCACATTGTCATCTTCATTTCCTATTCGTTCCTCCATATTGTCATGTTCCTTTTCTAGCTCAGCCTCATCTATAATATCAGGAGTACAAATTGAGTGCTCTACACACATATCTACAACCTCATATTCCTTAACATCAACAACAAATTTCAGCACATCTTCATCAAGATTTAGGGGTTTAAGGTCACACGAAAAACTGTACTTGGGGTTCCAATACCATAAATATTTAATATTGCTATATCCCTCATTGTGAATCAACTTTTCCTATTGCATATAAGACACATAATCCATATCCCATTCCCAGTTCATTTCAGAAAATACCCTGTGAACATACCACTTCACAGGTTCAGACACTAACTTTCACTTAAGATGAAATCGCATCCTAATGCCATGATTTTGACTTGGTCTGTAATAAAAACAAACGTTCAGAATAAACATCAATATTTTGGACCACATTCATAATAAACCCTAATTCAGACTAAACAACATTAATTCAGACCACATTCAGAATAAACAACATTTTTTGGGACCACATTCAAAATAAACAACAAGAAGAAGGGACCACATGTTTCAAAAATGGAAACATTATGCGTAAAAACCATAAACCTTAATTCCATTAAAAAAATTTCATTTACCTCATACAATATTTCACTTGTTCCTTACTTTTCGTTCTTTCTTGATCTTTAATTTTCATGGTGATTTCGCGTTTGCAAAGAGTTGATGAAATTATGGAAAGAGATGAAGAAATTAAGGAATGAGAAGATGAAATTAGAGTTTCTTTCATATAAATACGGTCAATTAAAAACATTCAAGTTTTAAAATTTTACTAAAAAAATGAAAATATCAACTTCATGTCATATCATTAAATTAGTTAGCTCATTAAATAATATGAGATCTGATTTACCATGACAAATCACTATTTTAAACGCCACATACTCAAAACAGAAAGAAAGACTAAAAAAATTTTAAAAAAATAATAATTTGAGGGACCAAAAAATTAAAAAAATTAAAAGAATGACTAAATCTTTAAAAATGTGTAAATATAAGTGCAATTAAGAAAAAAAAAACACTAGGAAACAGGAGTATTTAACAAACTAATGGGGCGCTAAGCAGAGGGCACAAATTGAATGAGAGGTGCCGCCGTATCATAAACCCCTGAGGCTGAGGGTTTATAATACTGACAACAATTTGCACTGTTTACCAATCGGATTGCAAATTAGGGTTATTCGTAACCGCGAGATGGCGGCGCCGAGTTCTGACAATGGCAGCGTCGTCTTCATCGACACAAACCTCGACACTCATTTGGCCCTCACCGTCTCCGATCAAGATACCGTCTCCGACTTCAAAAGTAATCTCTCTTCCTCTTCATCCTTCTATTACTTTACATTGCTTAGTTTTCGTTGAACTTCAATTGATATGCATGTGTTTTGTTTGTAGAGAGAATCGTGTTAGAGCATCCTTTATGTTTTCCCAAAATTGGACAGATACAGATTAACGGGATTAAGGTACATACACTAACGCATCCATTGTTGTTGAAACAATTGTTGTAATGGCTTATTTGATTATGTTGTTTTTCTTCGTTTTTGTTTTCGGTAGGTTAAGCGCAACGGTCACTTTTATCATTTATCGGATTCAATGATTGTGAAAAGTGCATTTAGTGGTTTTAAGAAAAACTGGTTTCTTAGTGTTGATGTTTCTGCACTGGAAGATTGTAGACAGAATGAACAATTGTTTTCTCATGCTTTTCTTCATCGGGTGGATTCTATTGGTGTTGCAAATAATGCTTTAGTCCGTACAAGTAATGATAATGCTGTTATTTTACCATGCAATTATCAGTTGCAAACGTTGGAGAACAAACGAAATGAAAGCGAAGGAGTTCCCGTTGTTAGCCCTTGTGTTTCTGAACACAGTGCTAAGAAAGGGGACACAAATTTGAAGGCCGATGCTAATTCATCTGGCCATAATGACATGGAAGTTCCATTGCCCAGTTCAATCCTGAAGACAGATGACTGTAGTCCTTTAAATAAGGAAGTTCAAAGTTTACATATGGATTGCGAAGTAGATGGGATTGATGATGGAAATAAGGGGGATTGTAATGTGTATGAAGATGAACCTTCGGTATCTGTGCAAAGTGAGACGAGAAAACGGAAGAAGAAAAGGAAACGAGAAGACACTGTGGTGGGCGATAATTCCAAAGAAGAAATTGCTTCTGCGGGGGGAGATAATTCCAAAGAAGAAATTGCCTCTGATCGCCCTTTGGTTTCAGAGCACACTGGAAAAAAAGCTGTGAAAAATTTGGAGATGGTTCCGAGTTTAAATATTGAATGTGAAGTTGGTGGATCCGATGAAGGAAATAAGGATGATTGTAATAAGGGTGAAGATGTACCTTCAATAACTGCGCCAAGTGCAAAGAGAAGAAAAAGGAGTAAAAAGAAAAAAGAAGACACTGCTGGAGATGATAATTCAAAAGAAGAAATCCCTTCTGACCGCCCTCATGTTTCAGAGCACACTGAAAAAGAAGCGGTGAAAAATTTGGAGGTGGTTCCAAGTTTTCATATTGAATGTGAAGTAGATGGATTGGGTGAAGAAAATAAGGGAGTAGTAGCTTCAACATCTGTGCCTAGTGCAAAGAAAAAGCGGAAGAGTAAAAGGAAAAACCAAGACACTGGGGGAGGTAGTAACTCAGAAATTAACATTGAAGCTGTCAATAATCCTGTTGGTTGTCCATCAGAAAGGGCATCCGGTTTCAACATTTTTCAAGTGCCTCAATCAGAGAACAAGCAGGATGAAAAAGAAGAAATCCCTATTGACCGCCCATGCATTTCGTTGCTCACTGAAAAAAAAGCAGTAAAAAATTTGGAGATGGTTCCGAATTCACATATTGAATGTGAGATAGATGGGTCCTATAAAGGCAGTAAGGATGAATCTATTGTTGTATGCGAGGAAGAAACGTCTAAACCCTCTCCAAGTGCAAAGAAAAAGAAGAAGAGTAAGAGTAAAAGGCAAAAAGAAGATGCTGTGGGAGGTGATATCTCCAATGATAACATTGCTTCTGTTGATAATCCTCCCGGTTGTCCATCCGAAAGGGCATCCAATTTCAACAGTTTTCAGATGCCTCAATCAAAGAACAAACTGGATGAAAAAGAAGAAATCCCTTTTGACCGCCCATGTGTTACTCAGCCCACTGAAAAAGAACCAGAAAAAAATTTGGAGATGGTTTCTAATTCACATATTGAATCTGAGGTAGATGGGTCCAATAAAGGCAGTAAGGATGACTCTATTGTGTGTGGGGAAGGAACTACTAAACCCGCACTAAGTGCAAAGAAAAAGAAAAAGGAGAAGAGTAAGAGTAAAAGGCAAAAAGAAGACACTGCCGGAGGTGATATCTCCAAAGATAACATTGCTTCTGTTGATAATCCTCCTGGCTGTCCATCTGAAAGGCCATCCAATTTCAACAGTTTTCAGGTGCCTCAATCAGAGGACAAACAGGATGAAAAAGAAGAAATCCCTTGTGACCGCCCATGTGTTTCACAGCTCACTGAAAAAGAAGCTGTCCAAAATTCGAAGATAGCTCCAAATTCACATATTGAATGTGAGGTAGATGGGTCCAATAAAGGCAGTAAGGATGACTCTATTGTATGCGAGGATGGAACTTCTAAATCTGCACCAAGTGCAAAGAAAAAGCAGAAGAATAGAAGGAAAAAAGAAGAGACAGTGCGAGATGATACTCTGAAAGTAAGTGATGCTTCTGTTGTTGTGCCAGCTCAGCAAGATATTGTAGTCCTAGCCAACTCTTCAGAGAATGCAAATAAAGAAGTAATTAAGGAAACTGATGCTTTAAAGGAGAGCACTGCATGCAACGATAATAACACTAAGAATGACGTTAATGTTCTGTCTATGAACGAGGCTTCAGAACTCATGTCTCCTGCAAAGAAGCAAAGGAAAAGGAAGAAACCTCTAGCTCATGAGTCAAAAGGTGATAATGCTCAGTAAATGGGTGAAAATAAAAATTAACTTCATTTTAGTTTTTATCATGTTAATTAATTTGATAAATTTAAAATATCATACTTTAAGATCTATCACTGATTTTTTTCCCCTTCTTGCGAGTAGATATCATTATGAGCAAAACGAATTGTGACCAAATGGAGATTGGGACGGAGGCTCGCAAAGAAAGCATGCAGTCTACTACAAAAGATGCAGGAAATTATAAGAACCAGTGTAATGTTGAATTGGAAGTACAGCTTTCTGATGCAAACGAACCCAAGGGTCTGATGGAGGATAACGAGAATGTTGTTGTTGGTCATTGTCATGAAAGTGAAATTGGTCCAATCGATGGAGCTGCGGCTGGAGAAGTATCACCACAAAATGTTGATATGAGTGGAGTAAAGGAACCTGTAAAACCGGTGAATGAAAAAAAGGGGATAAAAAAAGCTTCGAATAAAGGTGGAGGAAAGACGCTTAGAAAAGATAGTGACCATGTGGACGCTTCTGAGAGTGAAACAGTTGTTACCAAGTCTCTTAAAGCAACCATTTATGATCCTATGGCAGGAGATACGGAGACAAAGGAAAATCCTCTAAATCAAACTGAAGGGAAAGTGCTGCAGCAGGAGAAACTGCAAGGGACTGTTACTTCTATGACAAATAAGGGAGATGATTTTAGCACTAACGATATTGATTCACCGGAACAAACTAAAAGAAAACTTAATGCACAAAATGTGGATGAACATGTGAGCAAGAGACTGAAAAATATTTCAAGCAACAAGCAAACTTCTACACCAAAAGGCACATCAGATATGCTAGCAAATGGTCATGTTTTTGGAAGTAAGAAAGAGCGCGTCGTAAACAGTATTGATAAGGCACCAAATGCACACAAGAGTGGACAAGTTGCAAAATTGTCTAGTCAGTCTGACAGCGGCATGTCCTCAATTGGTGAATATAGAAAACCTCCTAACAGTGCTTCTGGGAAAAGTATGGATTTGGAAAAGCAAAGGAAACACATTCCTACTTCAAATGCAAATCTGGAAGAAGGTTTCAACAAAACTGTTCAAAATAAAGCAAGAAAAGCTTCCGGGAATGATGCCATGAGAGTTGTAAGTAACTCTCAGCAGAAGAAGAGTTTGTTAGAAGGAGCAATATTCAAAGATGACAGTGACAGTGTCTCCGAAGATGAAGATAAGGCTTATAATTCTGATGCCAGCACTAGAACTCCATCTGATAACTCAATCCCATCTGATTTAGATGGGTATGACAGTCCAGGTCTGGATTCACAACAAAATGGTAAGTGAAGTCTACTTTGATTGCGAGTGTACCTTAATTTATGCATCAGTTAATACAGTGAATGTAAACAATTCTTTGGGTGGCCGGGTTGTGGGTTGGTGGAGAGTTTCTGAATGTGCTTGTGCTAACTTTATCTTTTCTTTTCTCTCCGTTCATTATAAGAAGATCTTTGGTACTTTTGTAATGCACTGTTAGTCCTAATGCATGTAGATAAATAATTTTTTAGGTTAAAATTTTTTTTTCTTCAGAAATTGATATGAGAAGCTTATTTGCCCTCTGGTAATTTTGAAACTTTTGAAGTTTATATTATCAAGTTGTTACTTAGTTAGGGGTGGAAGGTGAAATGACAACTATTAGATTATTGCAGTTAAGATTTTTTTTTTTTTTTGATTAGTTGTGGTTATTGCTATTCTAAGAAGTTACAGGTAGAGGCACTCACTCAAGCATACTTGATAAGTTTTCTGTTAACTACTGGGCCACTATTTTCATATCTACTGCACTTACTCGGACAACTTTTGGTATCTCACTTAGTCGCTAAGATTATGTAGTAGTCTTACTTTATGTCTCAGTGTACTATTTGTTTCCTGATATGCTTATTGTTCTTGATGTTGTTGATGACAATCCTGAATTAAAGATTTATACCACTATGTCTAAATTTTGGAACCAATTTTTTCTCTGTATCAAATTGGATCAGGTTCTTATGATGGGAAAGGGCTGGAAAATGATGAAAAAAGTTCCTTAAAATCAAGGTAAGTTAATAACTTATGAGTTTGCAAAGTGGACACATTGTATACCTGCATGATTTAAAACAATAAATTGTTTCCAGCGCGTCTCTTTCTGCTTCTGCCACTTTCAGTTTTATCATACTTCAAAAATTCTTTACATTATCCTGAAACACTTTCAAAATTAATTATAACAAGGACCCAACTTGAACCTGAACTTATAGTTGACCTGTCAAATTATTTATACATATTAACATAGCTACACTTACTGTTAGTATGTTATATGGATATATTTATGTTTGTCTTCGGCAGTTATAAAATGCTTAAAGAAATAAGAGGTGATACCTAATTAGGGTATCTTGAAGGATTGTTTTCTGTCGCTTTTATTGCACGACTCTTATACTCTTATGCAACTTTTTTTGATAAAGTGTTGGTCTATCACTATATGCTTACTATTATTCAGTTTATCACTCTATTATTCTTTTCATGTTGGAGATAATGGAATATATTCCTATAATACATCATCTTTTTGATGGGCGGATTATTTTATAATGAATCTAGTCATTCACGTCCACAACCATCTTGTGAGAGATGTAAACAAGTCACACATTGTGCTCTCAAAATTATAGGTTGGGCTTGCTATAACCAATTATTTGTAACTAAAACCTCTTAAGTTCTAGTGCTACATGTTGTATCTGATGAAATATTTTCATTTTATTGTAAGGGTAACTAAACAATTTTTTGAATGTATAAATGCCTTGTCTTTGTCTGGGACATGCTTGTTGTTGCTTAGTAAGAATTATTAACGAGGGATGAGCCGTCTAAACATACTGTCTTTCAATCTCTACATCATCGCTGATAATAGATGTTTTCGGGGGCTTCTTTTTTGTTTTACTTTTCGTTATATATGTGTTTTGTACTACATTTCTGAATTTGCAATAGGTGAGTTCTGAAACATTCTTTGTGCAGTTTGTCAGGCACAACAAAAATGCCAATTGAGCATATCCTTAGAAGCTCAGCAAGGTATAAGAAAGCCAGAATTACAGCCTCTCAATTGGATGAATCTGAAAGTCTGCCAGAAGTTGTTCCTGACAGCCTTCCTTAGAAGCTCAGCAAGGTATAAGAAAGCCAGAATTACAGCCTCTCAATTGGATGAATCTGAAAGTCTGCCAGAAGTTGTTCCTGACAGCCTTCCATAGATGCAATCACAAGTTTCAGCATTGTGATATTTTTTGTTCTCCTCTGTAGCTGTTGTGAGGTGTCTCATTTATGCCGTCTTCTTTTCACCTTTCCAAACAGTACTGATTTTCTTTTAAGATTGTGTACCATTGTGGTATATTATTATCATTACTACCATAGAGATACAAATAAAGTACATTAATCAAAGTTTTGTTGAAAATTTGAAGTCAATGCCAAACTATTATGTGGCTTGTCTATATAATGTTCTTAATGTTTTGTTTTTCTTCGAAATTCTTAAAGGTTGAGGTCCTCTAGTGTATATCTGCATTGCTAGATTTTAGAATGATATATATATTATTCTTCAAGCAAGAAATTTTTGCTTTTAAACCAAATGATATATATTAACACAACGGGAAATGAACAAAAATGTATAAAGTGATCAATAAATACCATTAATGTGTATTTCAAATAAGTTGAACGATAAACATTAGAGTTAAATTATTTTCTCAACATGAAAGTATAAAATTAGAAGCATATGGTTGAATAGGAGGCAAATTTGTCAAATTGGGATGATTTAATATAACTCAAATATGCATATGTTTGAGAGCGTGACAATCACGCCACCTCAAGTTTAATTGGAAATGCACAAACTAGCTATAAATGTTTTCTCTCAACTGAATCCAAACACCCAAATGTGTCAAATGTACTTATGTGATTCTAAAATCCCTATTACCTCGCACAACATGAATCAAATATTGAATTTTACTTGTAGTGAATTTGTTGAAGGTGCTTGTGAGAGAGATGAAATGTTAAAATTGTAAAAACAAAAACGAGTGATGTGCAAGACTGAGATGATCTCAAATAAAGAACAAAGTAAGCCAAATCAGAAAATGAAATGGCTGCTAAGGATAAGTAGAAAACCAAGTTTGATATATAACCCAATATAGAGAAAGAGAGAGAATTAGATACAAGTCACAAGCAAGAGTTACAATAAAACATTGCACAAAAGTTACTCAGATCTCATCTTATTGATCTGGTTAAGAGCAGGCTGCAAAATATTATAAAGCACCCAAAGTATAGCTGGTGCAACCACAAACAACAGAAGTGTTCCCCTGTTATCACTTCCAGCAGCATCAGCAATCATACCTATCTCACTAGCAGAAGCTTCTGACACCATACCCGATACAGCAAGCCCGCCAAGCCCGAGGCCAAGCCCAACAATCACCCCTCTCGTGCTACGCATACGGTTGATTTGGTTCAAAGCTGGCTGCAATATGTTGAACAAAACCCACCCTATGGCTGGAACCAATGGCAACAATAGTGCTAATCCTCTGTTATCACCTTCCGCTATTTCTGCTATTTGTTGAGCAGCGAAAGCCGCATCGCAGGTTGCGAGGGATGAGAATATTGCCCCTGCAATTGCAATGGAAGGTGACACAACAACGTTGGTGTTGTCAACTGAGGTAAGAGCCTTTGGTAGGTTTTGAACGGTGGTGATTTTGCATGTTGTTGTTGTTAGTTTTGCTGTGGTAGATGGATTTTGTAACTTGGGTATGGCTGTGTTTAGACACTTGGAGTTGATCATCATTGCCATTGTTGCTGCCATAGATGAATACTATGTTGAGATTGACACAGATTCTTCAAGAGTGGTAGCGAACTTGGTTTTTTACTATTGAAGAATGGGAACTAGACTTTGTTTGGAATATAGATGGGAAAGCCACGTAGGAGAAATGAGAACCAGTAATATTGTGGTATGTAGATTCTTCTCTTATCTAAATAGCCTCATTGGCGAGATTTCCACCTCCTATTCTTTGGTTTCTTATCACTTCACTTCAAATACAAACTAAAATTCAACAATACATTATTATTGTGTTAGATTGTTAGATGTGACAACGTGAGGATCAGCAACATGTTGTCATGCAACAAACAAACAAATAAAGGGGTGTTGCTTTTCAACCTTAGCGGTAAAGAACGACCTTAATTAAATTCAAAATTGTTTTCTTAAAAGTTTAGAACAACAGATATATACAAATTGAATCAAAGCAAATAATGTATATTTATATATTGATTTAGCAATGCAAAATTATACTTTTTTCTCGAAAACCAGTGGGTAGCTTTCATTTATTTAATTAATAGTTTAACACAACCTAACTGTAACTCAAACTTCAACCTCTCTTAATGCATCCCTTACTTTAAAAGTCTACAAAAATTTAATACAGATGAATTTAGAATGATTCAATGATTTGGAGTTATCATCAACATTGAATAAGTGATGTTAATTATAAGAAAAACAAATGAAAGTGGAGTACTTTTAATTCCGTTATATCCATATATAAATATACATACATAGTGTTTGCTAATCCATATATAAATATACATTATTTGTTCATATAAATGTTTCTTAGATAAAGAAATTTTTCGGATTTATTATGGGATATATTATGAAAATATATTTTCAGACAATTTTTTTTTATATATAAAATGAGAGCGCAACTCATTTAAAAAGAAATGTAATATATATGGAGTGCATACGAAAGTGTATTGTTAAATTTTATAGACACTATTGGTTTTTCACTAGAGTGCATGAGCACCACTAAAAATGTAATAAGCAATTCTCCAAATAAAAAGCAACATGTTAGAGTAGTTATTAGAGTCTGGGTTGATTTTGAGAGCATGTAAGACAAGTTACCACACCGGGCTTCAAATTTGTGAGGTTGATTTTGAGAGCATGTAAGACAAGTTACCACACCGGGCTTCAAATTTGTCACAGTTAACTTGTAGTTAAACAAGGTTTCATAAAATGTTTATAATGGTTAAACAATGATTTGTGTCATACTCCAAAATTTATCTCTAGATTCCATCATCATTTGCATAACATCCCACACATCCTAGGTGTATCATTCATGCATAACTAACCCTCAATTATCAATATATTGTCTTGTTTTGTTTCATCTGTGAATTAGGGTTTGCATCAAGGAGACTCTTAGTTAATTAGTCAAAGTCTTGGATTGATCATCAATATACTAAGTCCTTATGATCAAGAGCTTTCCTACATCACCAATCAAGTGTATTGTGGCCTCATTACAAGTTCATCAAATTTCAAATACATTTGATCCATAAACTAGGATTTTTTATGAAAAGTCAACTGCACCTTTGACTTTTGACCAAGACATGATCTCAAGCCTTGAGGCATGATTCAAGACCCTCACAGACACCTTTAAAGTGCATCTATAATGTTCAAATAGCCCAGGGGTTTGGTTTCATTGAAGATCACAAATTTCAAGTCATCTAATACAAAAGTCAACCATTGATCAAAGGCAAGTTTGACTTTTGACTCTTTGGTCAAACATGGTTTTCTCAAGTCAAGAATGATGATAATATGTGATTTGGATCGTGATCAATTAAGAAAATCAAGGGAAACATTAAAGAATCAATATTTGTGAAAATTAGGGTTTCATAATTTTTTCTAAGTTATGAAGATTCATGATTTTTGCTCAACTTGTCAAAGCCATAACTTCCAATCCAAGCAACCATTTTCTTTGCTCCAAATACCAAAATGAAGAGCTTGTTACATACAAAAACTTTGTACTTGAGGATGAATTCCCAAAAAAATGCAAGGATTGAGAGATATGAGGCCATGAAGTGGTGGATTCTTTGTCCCTTGAACCTAAAACACTTACAAAAATTTTCATACAAATATGCCTTGTAAAGTAGCTCACTTTGAGGCCATTTTCACCATGGGATATTTTGATTCAAGAAAAACTCAAAACATGAAAGTTGTAGAGCATATTTCAAGCTTTCCAAAGAGTCCAAGAACACATTTTATCATGTTTGAGTTAAGAGTTTCGAAGAAGGGAAGTTGGCCTTGAAAACTTGGATTTTGGTCATGTTCATGTCAAAACCTTGTTGCAAAATCTGTCCAAAACCTATATGATCTTGCTTTGCAGGTCATGTTACTTGCAAATCTTCCTCTAATCAGATAATTACACAAGTTTTTGAGGCATTAACTAAGGAATTAATGTATTAACCAAGTTGTAATGCCACATTTGGGATGTTTTGAAAGAAGGGTGCACTTCCATTTTGATAAAGTCACTTTAATCACAAGTCCACTTGTCTTGACTCCATGCCATGTTCCTTATGCACTCAAATCTTTCTAAACTAAGAAAGAAACACCTCTATACTTTCCAACCACCCTAGAATGCTTGGTACTATGCCTTGGAACTTCAAAAATTCATGAAACTACAAGTTGAATTCCATCCAAACCGAACTCTACACACTTGTGATTCTAAAGAAACATTGATCCTTACTGTTTTCCTATAAATAGAGGGTCTCTCCTCATTCAGAAATACACAACAAACACACTTCAAAGCATCAAAAACACCACTACAAACCAGAATCTGCATCAAAACTTCACCTTGTGCAAAAATCTCCATTTTTTAAAAACTTGCTCAAAACACTCCACAACCAAAAAACTTCAAACCAATCATTCACACAAACCAAAAAACATCTAAAAAAGGTGTTCAAACCTTCACTTTCATCAAAAACCCTCAGAAGTAAAAAGTCAACTCTCAACACCAAAATTGTTGACTTTCTACATTATCCCGACCAAATCTTCATCTTGACCTTTTACAATCCCTTTAACCCTTGAAACACAATCCATAAACATGTCCTTAGTTGTTCCAAGCATTGTTTGGTGACTGTAGCTTCATTTTATTGAAGATCAGATTTCCATTTTTTACTATTGCAAGAAGAATCGTGTCCAAGTTTTGAAGTTGTTTCTAAGTAAAGTAAGAATTGCAAAAGCATCAAGGAAGGTCATATAAGCTATTTGGATCCTTGAATCACTTCTGTAACAAGTTTGAAGAGGCATTGGACCTTGCTTCAATAGGTAAGGTTTCTCATTTCTGAACTCACTCATATAAGCATTGTTAGGGTTTGATTTCTGAAGCAAAAATGTAGCCTTTAATGTGTAGAGTGTATCCTCTAAGTTAATTGCAATTTATCTTGTGTGTATGTGAAGTTTTGGATTTCTAAACATATAGGGTTCATGTTATGTTCAATCACAATTTTTGTTGTGTGTTGATTTTTAGTTAAATTAGTTGGTACCATTAGAATCCTCATGAAAAATTAAACTAATTTCATTTTTGGATCATTGAAAAATATGGAGAAATGAGGAAGTTCAGAATTTCAAAATTGTTGAAAATGGAGATTGATGTTGGTGAGGAAGAAGAAGGCGCCATAATTCAGTTTTAGGAGCATTCTTAATATTTATTTTATCATTTTCATTTAACTCACGAATAGGCATTGCACCACTTTGGTCATGGAGTGTGTTTGGAGTGTTTGGCACTGGGGTTCAAATCTCCCTCGCCCTAGTCCTTTTGTTTTATTTTTTTTCATGATTCTAAATGCTTCCTTAATATATTATGGTATGAATGCGCCTTTTGTCTAGGCCAAGCAACTGGCTCAGTGGCTAAGTCTTTTACCTGCAGCTTAGAGGGCACAGGTTCAAGCCCCTTGTTTGACATTTCCATTATTTTTTGCTACTTGTCACTTTTCATGTTTTTCTCACTTTATTTTGATCATAACTCTCAAACCTTTCACTATTTTGAGCCAATTTTCTGTATGCTTCTTATTTATTATACCTATTTTGTGAATCCTTGAAAAATTCCCCAAATAATTTAATTTTCATACATTTTTACTTAGTCAAAGTAAGACATTTTTTAGGTGATTTTTAGGTCTTTAATTGATTCTTTTTTAATGTTTATTTAACTTTGCTTGGTCATGTTTATGTGTATGAATGTTATGAATGTTGTGTGAACCTTGTTTGATGTTGGTAACATGATTCTTTGATTTTTGCTTAAGTTTGAGGTACTTTAATGTATGACTTTTCATGTATAAATGACTTATTTCTTCATGTTTGATTATGAAACATTTCTCTTGACTTTTGCATGATACTTTTACCATGTTGAACCTTTGATGCATGCTTGTTATGTATTTGAGTCATCTTTGATCACATGTCCATATTGTTTAAAGCTTTGACACCATGACTTTGTTTGGTTCTTAAACTTCATGCTTATTACGTTTAAACCTTTTGAAATGTTTAGACCTGATTGTGATCATAATGAACCTTTGGCATGAACCTTTAGTTGTTATCTTATGTCTTGAGCCATGTCTAAATTGTATTCATAATTAAGTGTTGTTATAACTTGTCCATGATTGTTTGAATTCTTAAATTATATTCATGATTAAGTGGTGTTAGTAAACCTTAAACCTTGTTTGTTTTGACTTTGTCAAGTCATTCTCTATGTGTACACTTGAACTTTTCATTCATGACTCATATGTTGATATTCTTATATCCTTGTTGACTTGAACCTTTGATTAATATTATTATATCAATTATGCCCATGCTTACATGTTGTCATAGTCTTTTACCATGCCCATATTGTAGATGCTTTTGATTGGCTGCATTTTGTGGCAAAACATTGGAGTATGTATGAATGTCATAACTGATGTTATGACATACATGAAGAGTGTTCTGTAGGGAGAGCTAAGAGTAAGTGGAGATGAATGTCATGCTGGATGTTATGACATCAAGCGTATGACATC